TTTACACGAACTTTTTCAGTGTTCTTGAATTATTCAAAAAAAAAAATACACAGAAAAGCACAGACTTTTTAATGTGTCTAGGCATTCAAACTATCCTGCAGCTGAATTCTGGGCATAAATTTCATCGAAAAGAAAGAAATTTATACAAATTAGATAGGATATGAAGAAATTATCATCTCTTCGTTGAAATTTATGCCCGGAATTCAGCTGATGGAGTGCTAATTCTTGACAATATAGCTAAAGCACCAAGGCAGAGAATACAAACATGTCCATAAAGTCTAGATTCATCATTCAAGATTCCATCAGATTCAATTGGCTGGAAAACTTTTGAATACCGTAATCTGGGATAAATTGATCACTATTAAACGTAATTATCTAAATAAATCTGTACAATAAATTAAATTGAAAAACTAATGGTATTTAAATCAGTAGCTAGCGGCGGTGTAGTGGTAAGCGTGATTACCTCTCATACCAGCAGGCCTGCGTTCAAGCATAACATCTCTGATCACGCCTTTATCCCCGTTTATCCCCGTTTATCCCCGGTTCATGAGTGGATGGGTCGATATATAGGATCCAGCTGTGGGATATGCCTCCATGGCGTCGGTAGCATTGGTACTCAGTACGGAAAACAAGATCGACGGAGAAAAAAAATCAGTAGTATGAGGGCTCTATCGTCCTGTATGATTTCTTATAATATTGGATGAAAATATCGATATGGGATGAAATTGATCAACCCCTCAAATGGCTTCCCAGTGCGTTTCTAGTAATTGTTCTTATTAAAAGTGGATTCTCTGAATCCGATTCAGATGCTAAACCCTTGTGTGAAAAGTATTTTCAGCAGAAACGCCAAAAAGAGATGTCTTAAATGCACAGTTGTGCTTAAATGTAGGAAATTTTATTCAAAATTACTGGTAATTTTATTCAAAATTACTGGTAATTTTGCAAAAAAAAAACCTGCATTTCTTAATATTTGAAACATTCTACCGCAATAAATTAAATAATTCGGATTCATTGACCCTTAGTTTTGTAAAAAATTACATCAATCGTTTCAGTCCTATGATCGTTTGCTTGGATGTTGATATTGTATGCTACTTAACGACAGCTCTATAAAATTGAAATTTATGCAAAAACACATCAAGGCAATCATTGGAGTCTCATGATGATATACTTTTAAGATTTCTCTTGGTATCTATCACCGATCATGTTTTATGTGATAATTGAAAGTACAACGCATAATGATCAACTTTCCCCAGGATTACGACCCTTACTTGAAAAACCTACAGTATTGAGATCCTCAGAACTTGATCATCTTGAAGTCTTGGAAAAAATATCCAGGGAACTTTACTAATATCTCCGTCTGTATGGAGATCTTTTTAATACTTCCTGCTGTCTAGCAAGGATGTCTGTAAGAATATCCTTAAACTTATGCAAACGATTCCTGGACATCTACAAAACTGCCTTAAGTTTTACTAAATTTCCTCAACTTCTACGAAATTCCCTAAATTTATTCCAAATCCACATTTTTTCAATTTTTCTTAATTCTACGAAGATCTCTGAACATCTTTGCGCTTCTGAAAAGGCACCTATCATTCTCAAATATTTTTGAACATCTGTAAAGTTCCTTGAAATTTCACGAAGCTCCCAAAATCCCCAAGAAGTTCATGGAGCATTTTTGAAATAAGATCTCTGACAAACTGCAACCAAGTTCCCTATCCCTGAAGGTCTTAGAAGTTTATTGAACTATCTTTAGATCGTTTACAAAATTCACTGAACTTTTTCAAAATTCCTTATACTTATATGAAGTTTTAAGCAGCTCCTCAAAATGCCACAAAATTAGCAAATCTTCTGCAAAGTTTGCTGTACGTCTACGTTTCTCGTTGATTTTCCGCGAAGTTCCACGAACGAAATTTCTTGAATTTGTACGTAATTTCCACAATTATTCGAAGTCCATGAGGCTTTAAAAAAGTGCCCTGAAATGATATAGAGGTTCCCGATCAATAATGAGTTTCCCTGAAATAAAATAATGTTCCCATAACTTCTACGCAATTTTCTGAACTTTTCCAATTTCCTTGTTTCTACGAATTTTTCTGTAGATCTATGAAGTTTCCAGAATTCCTAATAAATTTCCTCAATTTCTACGATGTTCCCTGAACTTCTTAGAAGTCCTTGAAGTTTTACGAAGTTCCCTCAAGTTAAAGAAAAACTCCTGGGCTCATGGCCAATTTGTAGAGCCTGAAGACGTGTTATTGTGCCATCGATTAAATATTGATATAATATAATTTCTCAAAATTGCTCCAGTCAATAGTTGTTAAGTGAAAAATCTTACTTCACCTATGAAGAGATGACAACATTGCTGATTCAGATTGAAACCATCCTAAATTCAAGGCCAATAAAACCGCAAAGCGACGATCCGATGGATTATGAGGCATTAAGTCCTGGCCATTTCTTGGTTGGCCGAGAATTGACAGCTATAGCCGAACCGTGCTACGATGGTCTCAAGGAAAATACGTTGTCTCGTTACCAATTGATCCAAAAATGAAAGCAATTTGATAATTTGCCACCGCAAACTTGGAAACTGGGGCGTATTATGAAAATTCACCCTGAAAATGACGGCGTTGTTCGGGTGGTAACCATACGAACCAACAATGGCACGCACAAGCGATCTACAACGCAAATTGCTGTTCTACCCATAGAAGATGCAGAACGGACCAGCCAGACGGATAAGTTGAGCCACACACTTAGAAAAATTCATGTAAATTTAGGTGCTCTGAGACTGACCTATACGAGCGTCAATTTTGACATAAAATTAAGTCATATTGGACGCTCAATCAAACCTACTTTTCGTCGGGTAACAAACTTTCAGTCTTGGAGCACTTTATTTTACACGACATGTTTGTTTACGTCTCATCCTTTATGTCAAAGATAGATTCCGTCACGTGTAAAATTAGGTATTTCTAAGTGTGCATCCGGCTCCTGGGGAAGGATGTTAAGTGAAAAATCTAAACCTGTATTTTTGATTCAGTGTAGAGTAGGTCGATGTCCTATCCCTCAAGCGCAATTTCGACAGTTCCTAACTTGATTTTCTTGTTACGCGTCTTCCGGTTAGAGAAGGGCAGCAGAATATTAAAGTTACCGTAGAGTACGGATGTAAAAACTATACAGTCCATTTGTTTGTTTTGAACGCTGAGTTCCGTCCGAAACATTAGTCAATAGTCAACATGAAGGGCTTTAAAAAAAATAGTGACATCGAACTTGATCAGCTTGACAAAATACCGGTGAATAAAATAAAACGCCAGGGGGGGGGGGTGGCCCTGGCCCCCTAGGCACTCCCATTAACTACGCCAATGGGTTTTACAGTGTTGTACTTTCCAATAGAAGTTGACTGATATCTGGCACCAGTTGTCACGCTATGATTTATTTAAATTAAAAAGTGTCTATTAGGATCAAACATTTACAATACCTTTGAAGATACAAAGAACAGCGGATGTTTGTCTTCTACAAGAATGTGAACGTGTGAAATAATTCTATTGTGCGGATAGATAGATGTTGGGTGGGTTTAGCAAAGTTGTCCAATTTTGCCAAAGACACCAAGCCTCTATCTCTACTGTTCAAAAAACTTAATTTTGAGGAGTCTTACTCCTACACTGAACCAAAACATCCGCAATACTTCGAATGATTATTGCATTGCTCGAGCCCTTTAACAATATGCATTCGAATTTCGGATGATTTTCTTATGGTTGAATTTGTCGTCAGATGATGAACATCCATATGACTGTCATCCAAATGCAGGATGATTTTCGTTTGAAAATTAGCTATAAAACATACGGCACTCAGAGGACAAACATTTAAGAATAGTGTGACATGCAAGTGCTTTTAATTAGATTTATAATTTGATTATCTACAATTCCATACAAAAAATTTTCGTGGTAAAGAAAACCTCCGCTACCACGAATTAGCCAAACATTGGTTTTCATCCTTAACCTTTGTTCGTAACAGCTCTGATAGCGATGCATATGCTTCCACCTCGTTTGTCAGCTCAGATCAGCAAAAGACGTTCGATAGAATTATTTACATCATCGTTTTGAATGATTTGCGTTATGGGGCTGAACCAATACCATATGCATTTCCATTTAGTATGATAGTCATTCTGCAGAGAGCATTACGCATTTCAACTGAAGGCCCTATCCCTTCTCATAACAAGTTTTATCCTGAATTCGAGAGGAAAATCATCTGATTTCAAAACAATCGTCATCCGGTTGCAGCTATCATTCGAAAAAGCGATTTCGGTGTTTTGTTTTGAATGGTCTGAGGTTTCATTCGATCAGAGGATGATGTTTGTGTACAGTGTAGGGGGATTAATCAACCAACGGATGTCGTCAAAATATGGAAGGTTTTGGAATAATTCCACACGATCACGTTTTTCACCGTTTGGACCATTGTGCACTGCTCTTACGATGAACACATGAAGTCCCCAATAAATGTGCCAAATTTGAAGGGATTTGGTTGCAATATTGATTTGCGGCTGTATTTTAAAATTAGTATGAGACCTGGTACGAGAAAATGTATCGGAAACCGAAAACATGATTGCCAAAAATACTTCCATGGCTCAGTATCGTCCAGGCCAGTGACAAGGCCTATACCAACAGCAGCGTTTGACAGTAGGCAGCATGTCCCGGGCTCAAATCACTTATTTTGCTGTGCTGGGCCCGCTGTCACTGTATAACATGTTGCCTGGGCTGGTATCGTCCTTGCCTAAAATTTAGATTGGACACCCCTTACTTGTCAAGGATCGAAAATCGATGCGGTAAAAAGTTATTAACCATTTAGGTATTACGGTATTACCATTTATTTTGATTGGGTGTGCATGAGATCAGCGAGCTAGCGATTTGGGGGTGGCATAAATGCTAAATGAATGTTCTAACTTTCTGCACACAAGTCGAATCAGTGTGCAATCTTGGAGAAAGTTGTTCAGCATGGTTTGCACAATCTAAAATTCAAACATGGGTGACATAGAGCAACGTGAGATTTTTTCCTAGTAAATTAATATTCGATATAAAAGATTGATAGCTAAAATACTATTTTTTCAGGGGCACGCTATGAAAAATTACTCTAAAACGAGAACGATAATAGATATAAAAAAAAGTTGTTTCCCACAAATTAGCTTGACATTGACCCAGCTACAACTTTGTGTCGAAAAACATGTGTCTTTATTTTCAAAATCAAGAAAACTGAATATCAAATAGTTCTAGAACCACCCTAATGTTAACAATCATCGAAAAAAGGGAATTTTCACAAGGTCTACTTACCTGCTAAATTTCCATCCTGGGCCACTGGTGCTTCCGATCGAAATCGAGGCACAATCCGCTTTCAGTCCATTTCGCTGCGCCCGATTCGGTAAAACAAACTCAAATTTCCATGACCAAGTAAAGGGGGTTTCCCAATTTCTCGACTGAATTTTCACCAAACACTTCGTAAAATTTGCGGAAGAAAATTAGCTGCAAAATCAAAACACGCCAGTTTCCCAGCGTTGCCTACTTCGATCATAACTTAACTTACCTTCACCCCTCTCTCCTATGGATAGTAGTGGATCATCGATGCTAAGTTGTTGCCAAAAACCGACCGTTATTCATATGCAAACATTCTGTTGGTTGTGGAGTGGTGCATTCGAATCAACACAAATCCTCTCGCTGTCCTATGAAGAAGCAGCATTCAACTAACGACTTGTATTTGATTTTCAGGGAAGCACCTCATGCAAGGCGAGGGTCATCACACCGGCGAACAGCGAGGAGAAAAAGGTCCCCCATTTGATTTCCCGAAGTGGCTCGCACAACCACCCCGTCCACGTGGAAAGGAGGCCCCGCAATAGTGCTGGTGGTGGTGGACAAAAAATCATCCTGATTGAAGATCCGGAATATGAAAAATTTAACCTATGAAAAAATAAACCAATTTTGACTGAAACACCACCCCTTTCTTGCCAAACTTATTTACCCTCTGAGTTGTACACGTTCGGGTTTTTCATTACTGACGCAAATATTTCCCATTCTAGATGACCAGGAGGTTGGCCAAATTTACTACATTGCGGAGTTCATCCCATCGGAGGCAATCAAAGAGGTAAAACCGGCAGGCAAGAAGCTCAAACCGAAATCTGCTGATTTGGTGTATCCAAGTCAGGAAATTAAGACGGAACCCACTTCCGGGGATACTTCATCGAAGCTAACATACACGACCGGCCGCGGAAACAGCGTTCTCATGTACGAAGGCCATCGCTACATCAAGAACAACTCGCACAGTGGGAAAATCTACTGGAAGTGCACCAAATGGCACAGCGGATGCAAGGGACGGGCTATCACGAACATGATGACACCGGATTCGTGCTTGCTCAAAAACACCCACAACCATGACCAGTTATGATATTTGCAGTGGTAACCGCTTTGAGTCAGTCGATTGGACATGTTGTGATCCGTCTAATAGCAAGTGGTTTGATTATGAATGCAAATAAAGACACAGACGAAGCTAACCCTTTTTCCTGTATTAGCAATTTCTTATGCCATGGTTAAATCTAGTACTTCCTAAACTAACATAACGCTTCTCTTCTCTTCTAGCGCCTCTAACTGCAGCATTCCTGCAACAGTTTCAGTCGCAGCCGCTGCTCGCCTCACCACAGTTTAGCTTTAAGACCTCCCAGCGGAGCGGTCGCCACTTGCTCGTGGTGAATGGGGTAACATTTTTCCGAAACCGACATCGCAACAACAAGCAATACTGGAAGTGCAACCAGTACTACAAGTGTAAATGTCCCTGCATCGTGGTGATCGACGAAATCAACTCCCGCATGAACGTGAAGCACATTCACAACCATGACACATCGGGGGTCGCTGCCGGCAGTAGTAGCCTCTCCGGGATGGGTCCGAATCCGTCGTCGCTGGCCGGGTCCTTTCTGAACGATAGCCTCCTCGGAGGAAGCAGTAGTGCACTGGCTGCCGCTGCTTCGTTCGCTCAATCCGTGCAATCCAGGGCTTTTTATAACAAGAGAGAATAAAGTGTGATTTTAAACTGTTATGCCGTTTGTGGTGAAGTGATTTCCATTTGATCTAGTACCTCATTTACAGTTATTCATTTTCTTCATTTTTCGATTCACATTTTGCTAACACGCTATCCTTTCCCGACAGGCTCCAACAACCGGCGAGAGGAAGCATATGGGCAGTTTATGCTGCCGAAGGCGGAAATGGAAGTGGCCCGGTTCGGGATGAGCCAGCGGGGTGCCAAGAAACTGCTCTACCACGGCTACGAATATGTTAAGGACCGAGACTTTCCCGACTCGACAAACTGGCGCTGTGCCTTGTTTCGCCGGCAGAAATGCCGAGCCCGGGCAATCAGCAAAGTCATCGAGGGTGTCACCTACGTGCGGTTGACGAACGACGCCCACAGTCATGACGACCGCGTGTACCGACGGACCCCAGTGTTGATGCCTACTAGCGAAGAAATTCTTCCCTAAAAGTCGTTGTAAAGCTTCTATTGAATTTTGTGGAAAATATATGCCTAAATAATAATTTTGTGGATTACTGCACAGAACCTGTTTTCTTTGATGGATCAAAGATCGTACTGGATTGTCCAGCACTAATATGCAAATCTGTACTTGTAGGCATATTCGAACCGGCTGTTTTCGGTACCACCCGCCGGGGCCAGCAGAAGCTGATACACAACGGGCATGCGTATACCAAGGATCGCAAGTCGGCCAAGACATGCAACTGGAAGTGTTCGCTGTTCACCCGCTACAAATGCAAGGCACGTGCCGTCACCCGCGAAATCAACGGGGCAGTGTACGTGAAGGTTACCAACACGCTGCACTACCACCCGGTCGAGCAGTACAAGATCAACTACCGCCGTCTGGGTGTCAATCCGATAGCTCTGGAAAATACGTACGTTCCGAATATCAAAGAGGAACCGTTTTGAAAAAAAGAGCAATGCATTTGTTAAAAAAAAATTAACGAAATTTTACGCTATCCTTAGGCAAATAAATTGAGTGTGCACACGATTATTCTATAGTTTGAGCTGATTTTCGCCATTACAGCACATCATTCCAGTACTTGCTTTCATAACGTTGCATCCGTCCATGACGCGCTTTATTTCCTTTTAGACGACAAAGCTGGCTTCACGGAACGAGCCCTGTACGAGTACACTTCCCGCGGAACGCAACGATTGGTGTACGATGGGTATTTCTTTAGCAAAAACAAAACCTACGAAGCCGGCAGCCGGGTGAACTGGAAGTGCCAGTTCTACGAGCGACTGCGCTGCAAGGCCAGGGCGCTTACCAAGACCATAGACGGATACGACTATGTGCGGATTACCCACGAGGAACATACGCATACCCGTGATATAACGGAAGCAGGGACTCGCCGACGACGGCGGAGGCGAAAAAGTGACGCTTCATAGAGTGTGATATACGCGCTTTAGATCTAATAAACTTCTCGGTCGAAACAGACGTCTTTCAATCTAGTACTGCAATGTACGTTCCAACAAGCATTTTTCACTAACATTCTATCGCTTGTTTTAGGTCGATGTTTGAAAACGTTGGACATCCGGAGCCACCATGTGAGCGTCGTTCCGAGCAGCAAAGGGAATTTCAAAATCATGATCGACGGATACAGCTACACCAAGAATGCGGCCTCCGAGACGAAAACCTATTGGACCTGTTCCAAGATCAAAAGCTTAAAATGTCGAGCCAGGATTATCACCTACGCCAATAGTCCACAAATTAGCTACAATCATCACCACCACCACCATCCACCGGATTATTAAGAATGAAAGAATTGGAAAATAAATTCTATGAGGAAATGTACTGGAGTTTAAATGATGACCACCGCGACTGCCCGACTCCGGTAACTGTTTCTAACCGAACTTTCTTTTTCAAACCTTTTATTCTGGCAGGGGTCAGATTTATCGTGGACACAAAGTACTCGATTGGCAACGTGAGCACCAACGACGAAGACGACGACGATGAAGACGAAGCCAAGACCCAGTTTCCGCTGGATTTGAAGATGGTCGTCGGTCGCAAGGGTCGCCCCATGCTACTGATGGGGGGACATGCCTTCTTTCGCAACAACAGCAACAAGAACAAAACCTACTGGCTGTGCTCGAAGAGCCGTTCACTGAAGTGCCGGGCCCGGATAATTACCCTCGACGGCAGCGCAGGACTCATCCTAAAGAATCAGACTCACAATCACTCACCGTGCGGGGATAAAGCATAATCGGCAGGTTTTACCCAATCATTTTCAAACTCTTTTTCCTATAGTGTCATTAAAGTTGAGAGAATTCACCAATAAAGTAATGAAGCATAGAGGTTCTTAAGTTTGTTGATTCTAGTACTACAATACTGAAACCGTTTCGTCTTCGGTAAGTATCCAGCTGAATTAGTTTGATCGATTTTGTTTTCCTGTTGAGTTCAAATAAATACCCTTTATTTCAAATCCGAAATTGGCGTTTCAGTTCATATTTTTTTCCGTTGCCCTCTGTCAAGCCACTAACGCTCGACTTTCTTTCAGTTTCTTCCTCGGATCAACCGGCTGCGGAGTTACCAATCCAGCCACTTCCAACCAGCAAGAAGCCTGTTAGAAAGCCACGGCGCAAACCGGAAAACGCCATCAACGTAGAGGAGATTCTGAGCCGGGGCGGGGGAACACCGGTCGTCTACCAGAATACACGTTTCGGAGCGGCTCAGGTGCTAATGGACGATATCGTTTTCGCGTTCACGTGCACTAAACTGCGAGTAAGCCATTACCGGTGCAGCCAGTTCAAGCAACACAAATGTCCCGCCCAGGTGATCGTCAAGGAGGGTCTGATTTATTACGCTTGCAGGGACCATAACCACGACAAAGCCACCGGGCAGCCGCTGGATGACCTCTGCGGCGTTTACCAAGCCAGGGGTGCCAAGTAAGTTGATTTTTTACTAAACCGGCAGTAGTGTCGTTACCCGATGAGCACATTGCTGATGTCAAAGAGCTCTGTCTTCAAGTCTAGATAGAGCTGGAATTAGCGAATTAGGGCGTAACAGCCTTTGTAAACAATGACTTCTCTCGTTGATTTCTCGGAATTCAAGGCACGCCTACACAAACCAACATATCCATCGGGTAGGTGATGTCGATTTGCCAGGGAGAGCTATAACTTCCGAGAAATCATCGAGAGAAGTCATTGTTTACAAAATCTGCTACGCCCTAATTCCAGCTCTATCTAGAAGTCTGTAGTTAAGTAATGCATAAAACGTCACTCCTCTGCTTCATGGCCCAGAATCGATCAATGCAGTTTGGACCAGCTGCTGCAATGGTTGTTTAGATTTATATTTTGTATGAATTTTAAACAATTCGTTCGTCTGGTTGATGTTGGGTCATAAGACAGAAGGGTGTCGACTCAATGATGAAACATTAATTCTATGATATTCCCTGATTTTCCAGTCGTTTTTCTAAAAAAAAAACCAGGCAGGGTTGGAGTGATAGAAATAAAAAAAATTAAAAAAAATAAATAAAACATACTGATTAATGTTTGATACGTCAATCTACAGTTTTGATACTATCATCGTCGGTACGTCGTCCATTAATAAGCACAATTTTTAAAGTTCTGCAAGTTCACAAATTTGGTTCCTATAATAGAGAAAACCCAAGGGGTATTCAACTCTGCACACCTTAATCTGTGCCAAGAGTTTTGGCAGTGCCGAAAGCAGTGCCAAGCGTTGATCCGATCATTCCGAAGTAGGCCAAAGTGTATCAATCAAGGTGTCAATATCCCATGAGTTTGACAACCCTGAAGTTAGACTTTTATGATTGTGTATACATTTTCAATTTATCTAATTCATGACCATGGTTCATGAAAAATATTAAACTTCATTCTCATTAGAATGAGATTGGACAGTGGAAGAGGAACTGGAAGCAATACAACTTATACGACCCGTCCACAAGAAACGAACGGTGGACGACATTTTCACCAGCTGTCAGTAAAATGCTCCCCGACAAAATCAAACCCAGAACTCGAACTTCCACCCTAGAAACAACATCCTCGAAACAGTTCTGATCGTCTCAGAACTACGCAACCTCGAAGACATCACCCAAGCCTATCGCATCGCAGATTGTGATGTCTCCTACCATCACCAAATTACACACGTTCAAGTCTATCAAGTTCACGATCATTTGCAGATGTGATACCTTCCACAAGGTACCACCAATCAAAACCAATGGCCAATGTACCACCAGTGAAAGCCATCAAATGTCCCCCACTTCATATCTGTCATACCTCGGAAATGGTGCACGTTACAGATAAACTTCGCATCTGCAGTTCAACTGTACCATGTGGTTGTTGTTGTTCATCTGCACGCCCATGGGATCTTGCCGAACAGCAAATTACTTAGTGTCGTCATCCATGCGTCATGCACTTTCGAGATTGAGCAAGGCCTTATAATTCATTGATTGGTAGACCACTCATCGCACCGGATCCTTCTGAGACGAACTAGTGCAACAGAAGAGTGCAGATTGGATCGTTGATGATGGTGTGTAGTCACGGAATAGAAATGGAAATTGCATTTTTGATTGCATTGATCTGTTCCTATAAATCCTATACTGTTTCGCTAAGGCAATCTTCCAGACCTGATGGTATATTTGGGGTTAATACGTATCGACATCCCCCAATAAGTACTGGGACATCCCTATAAAGTCCCGTGGATTTCCCATCGAAGTCCATACCAATGGAAACCAATGACTGGCAAGGATAACTAACGAAAAACGTAGGAGAAAACGATTAAATTTTCATCCTGGAAGATCCGTGGCAAGTCTTGACGTACTTTTGTACTTTTCCCGCACTCAGACGAGTATTACACGAAATAGATCCCAATATTCAACCACTAGTGTTTTATTAGCCCTCAACCTTTACATTCCCCACGAAAAAGATCGAAGTGTGCCTTGGTCGCGATTAAACGTGTTTGTTTTCTATGGTCGGGATTTTTCGCGATCCTCTTCTGTCAGCGTTTTGGCTGGTGGCGTTTGAATTATTTCCAAATGTATAGTCCAGTTCAGGTTTTACGTATTCAGTAACCGTGTTGTAAGAGTGCTAGTGATTAAGACCGTGAAATCAGCTTGGAAAGAAAAGAGTCCCATTGGTTAAGCCCTGTTAAACCGTGCCGTGCTTTTCTGGATGCTAATTTGGTGAGCTCGTTCCTTAATTTTTGTTGTAATTTATCGTAAATATTTTTTTTTTAAATCATTAAATACGCGTCAATCAAATTTTGCGCTACTGTTTGATAGAAAGTTTCAGTACATTATCAGCATCGATAATGAACCGGAGCGGGGCTTATCGCAAGCGAAATCTTCGGAAACATGCGCTCTTGAAATGGGCTAATGGGTATACGGTAGAGCTATTACCTTCTAACTCCCGAGTTCAAACTTTTTGCAGTTATAAAAAATGGTTACAGCTAGATTTTATACATAATACCACTGCCAGACAGTAGGAGTGTGATTGTACATACATACAGTACATACAATATATGAACGAATGAAAAATTGCATCAGTCAAATGTGTCAAAATTCATTTGTCTTAACAAAGAAGCTAAGTAAAAAAAAAGTAAGAGGTTGTATCCAAGACACGACAGTAGATTTAACGTAGGATTACGAATGGTAGTTTTGATGTCACAGCAAAAGTATAGTAAAATTGTTTTCTTAATTCGTTATGTTTTTGAGCTGTATCGGTGTCCATGTAGTACAAGCAACCCTTATAAAAAAATTTACCATAAACGAACGATAGCCCAAATTATCGAATTATTCTTCAAATGGTTTGGATGATGCCCCGAACACGTCGTTAAGCAAAATAACCATATCATTTTTATTAGGGCAATCTTACTTGAACTCTTTTATCAGCCATTGTATCAACAATCAATACGAAACTAACGATTTTAAATTGGCTCACTGCTTGACTAGCCTATTGGTCCCAAGCAAATCGTTTAACGTATCCCATTCTAGTCGAAATTCTACTACTACACAATGTTTGTTTTGATTCGCTATGAAAGTTTGACAGATAAAACTAGGGGTTAGTGGATTTTCCTATGTTTCGAGGGGTGAATCGATTAGCGTGGGACCGAAGAGTGTACCAGAGCTGAGCCAAAAAGTTGAACACGTTATTTCGAGACCTTCTAGTCTTAGAGTTACCTCTATGATTGTATTGTGTAGCCAAATGCTGTGACATACATACATACATTTATTTGTACAACATCACATTTAAGATAAGACATAATCAACAATAGTACGCCACAATGCTCGGTTTGCGGCTGCCGCTCTCCATCCTCGGTCATGCCCAATGCTCGCTAGATCACGCTCTACCTGGTCCGCCCATCGTGCTATTTGCGCTCCACGCCTTCTTGTGCCAACCGGATCAGTAGCGAACACCAACTTTGCAGGGTTGTTGTCCGGCATTCTTGCAACATGCCCTGCCCACCGCATCCTTCCGGCTTTGGCCACCTTCTGGATGCTGGTTTCGCCGTAAAGTGCAGCGAGCTCGTGGTTCATTCTCCGCCGCCACTCACCGTTCTCCTGCACACCACCGAAAATCGTCCTTAGCACACGTCGCTCGAAAACTCCGAGTGCTTGCAGGTCCTCCGCGAGCATAGTCCATATCTCGTGTCCATAGAGGACCACCGGTTTTATTAGCGTTCTGTACATGGTACATTTGGTGCGGGGGTGAATCTTTTTTGACCGTAGTTTCTTCTGGAGCCCGTAGTAGGCACGACTTCCACTGATGATGCGCCTTCGTATTTCACGACTCACATTTTTGTCAGCCGTCAGTAAGGATCCAAGATAAACGAATTCCTCCACTACCTCGAAAGTATCCCCGTCTAGCGTGACATTACCATAGAGGTAACTCTAAGACCACTGGGTCCCGAAGAAAATCATTATTATTTTTGGCTCACTCAGTACCAGAACAACGGTCCCAAGCAGTCCCAAGCTATTTCACTCACCCCTGCATGTTCTGCATGAATCCACACACCCCTGATGTTATCTGTCAAACTTTCATAGCGAATCAAAACAAACATAATGTAGTAATAGAATTTCAACTAGAATAGGGTACGTTAATCGTTTGCTTGGGACCAATAGGCTACTAAAGTGGTGAGCCAATTTAAAATCGTTAGTTTCGTATTGATTGTTGACATTACTTCCCAGACGAATGCTGTCATGTTCGGTTCCGCCTACTAGCATGTACTTTGTTTTTGACGCACTCACCACCAGTTCGACCTTTGCTGCTTCGTGTTTCAGGCGGGTGTATAGTTCTGCCACCGTTCCAAATGTCCATGTCGTCCGCAAAGCACACAAATTGACCGGATTTCGTGAAAATCGTACCCCGGCTGTTGAGCCCGGCTCGTCGCATTACACCTAGAGCGATGTTGAAGAGTAGGCATGAGAGTCCGTCACCTTGTCGCAGTCCCCGGCGAGATTCGAATGAACTGGATAGTTTCGAGTCCACGGGGGACTCTTGAGGATCATCCGAAGGATCTTGTTTTAGATCCTTTGGAGTTTGACGTGATGGCACTTAGCACAGCTCTCCCATATTGGCGTTTCGTACTCAATGGCGGGGAGGATGATTTGCTTGTGGACGGCAAGCTTGTTTTTAATGGAAAGGGTGGATAGAGCGACCTAATCAAGATGGCGGATGATTTGTCCACATGGGAACGGAACAGCAACTTGCTATCAAGGGTGAGACCAAGTTAGATGACTTCAGTTGACCATTCAAAGTGAAACTAAAGATTTTAAATTGGCTCACTACTTGACTAGCCTATTGGTCCCAAGCAAAGCGATTAGCTGACCCCATTATAGTCGAAATTCTAGTACTACGCAATGTTTGTTTTGATTAGCTATGAAAGTTTGACAGATAACATGAGGGGTTAGTGAATTTTTCTATGTTTCGAGGGGTGAATCGATTAGCTTGGGACCGAAGAGAGTACCAGAGCTGAGCCAAAAAGTTGAGCACGTTTCTTCGGGACCTACTAGTCTTATAGTTACCTCTATGATATTATCAATGTGGACTTTGAAATTACCAAGTGCGACAAGCTGAGGTAAATTGGAGAGCGGAAATAGTATGGTCTGTGGGGGCCACCCCGGCGTAGTGTGTTGCGAACGGACTTTTTCCGCTTGATGATGTTAGTAACCCGTGCGAGTTGGTGGATGGTAGAGTGGCCTTTCCTAAACCCGAATTGCTCTTTGAGAAAGATGTTATTATCATTTGAAAACACCAGCAGACGGCTGAGTATCAACTTTTCGAGTAGTTTCGATATGGATGGGGCGATAGCTTTTGGCCCTGGTAGGGTCTTTGCCAGGCTTGTGGATTGGAATGACTTTGGCTAACTTCCAGCATGCACGGAAGTATTTAGCAAGCACCAAACACTTATTAAAGACCGCTGCAAGGTGCTCGAAGAAGTCAACTCGATGTTGACCAGTCCATCGACACCAGCGGCCTTCATGATCTTGGTTGATTTAATCACTGCTGTAACCTCATCAGCCGATATTCTACTTTCTTCAGGGACAACTACGGGGGCGGCATACCGGACGGTATCTACATGTATGCTTTTTTATGCATATTTTAAGCCCCTACCATTAAGGTGATTCCTTGTAGAGGCCGCCACGTAGGCTATACACATAGAGGTAACTCTAAGACCACTGGGTCCCGAAGAAAATCATTATTATTTTTGGCTCACTCAGTACTAGAACAACGGTCCCAAGCAGTCCCAAGCTATTTCACTCACCCCTGCATGTTCTGCATGAATCCACACACCCCTGATGTTATCTGTCAAACTTTCATAGCGAATCAAAACAAACATAGTGTAGTAATAGAATTTCAACTAGAATAGGGTACGTTAATCGTTTGCTTGGGACCAATAGGCTACTAAAGTGGTGAGCCAATTTAAAATCGTTAGTTTCGTATTGATTGTTGCTATACATGCACTTCGACTTCTAATTTTCAATTACACAAATCTCGGACATCGGTGTCCCATTTCACCTGAAATTGCTACTTCATGTATGCTGCAGTTCAGCAAACGTGGAGTAACAATTTGAATGTTGCCCGTGTCGTGGAAGCTCATATTTGTTTCCAAGTGGTTCCGAGAATAAGTATGTCACAGCGATTCACCTTAAGATATGTTAGCGTATTTCTCTTAATAGGAGGAGCTTAAAATTTGCATCAAAGGGCATACAGATAGGTACCGTCTGACAAGCGAAAAGTAACTGGAGAAATTTCTTGCTAAAAATTTTCCAATCGCAAGATATTCGCGATCAATCATATAAATTTGAGAATTTTTTTTTGCTTTTTCCAGCGTCCTGGAAAAAACCTTACCTTAATTCGAAGTGTTTCTGGTTGATTGATAAGGTCATGTGGTATTCGGTCATCTCGAGAATGTTTATATACAACTTCAATACTTGACGCATTTGCCTAAAAGCGCTTTGTTGCTGGGTACATTATCAAAGAGCTTTTGGGTGATGTGGCAGGCAGCAAGACGAGCGAACGTTCAATGAAAATTAAATCTTAAATAACAATAAATCCTAAAAAGAACCGTTGTCGTGATGGTTGAGTAATGCTGAGCTATTAGAGTGTTCAAAACAGATGAGGCTACTGAATTCGATCAATAGCGGTGCGGCTTCTTCCTCCTTCTTCGGTAAATGGACGTTCATGTGGGTTGCAGCTTGCTGCTTGCGGGCAGCCTTTCATTGTGTACAATGTACAACGTCACGCTCCGAAAGCACTGCTGCTGCTACCAACCGGAAACCACCATTCACGGTGATTGAATAAGCACTGTTCAGGGATACCGGATGGAATTCGATTTTGAAATCTGTGTTAGGAAAAACGCTGTTTGCAGGCAATCGGTGATAATTTTGATCACTATTGCTACAGTTGGACATCAAATTTTGTGTAATTTTCAGTAATTACCTATTGAAAATTAATATAGTGTCCAATTAGGCAGATTCATAGCAAAATTCTAATTGATTGGCTTGATTAGAAACAAAATCCATCCGCTATTGACAGAGATATATGCGGTCAAAACCTGACCACTTTTCGTAATGCGGTCGATTTTGGTTTTTTGAAATTGCACCCCCAATTGGTTGCTGAAAGACGTATTCCTACGTCAAAAGTAAAATCGTCTTTAATCCCATGCACTGAAAGGTCGATGTGTATTGATTCAACACATGACTATTTTGAAGAATCACTAATTTGATTAACACTCCGACCACGATGCCTCCGGTTAAATGTGTAACGGCAAACTTGCAATGTATGAAAAATCATAGCTCAGCCATTTATTGACGAACTTCAAATGTAATTGCGCCCTTTGAAACTTATTTTAAAGATTTATTCGGTATCAATAGATGTAAAATCTATCGATAAATTACAGAGCAATTATTTTTCCAGCACGGCCAATTTTCCGTTACGCATTTGTTTTGAGTGAAAAAAACACATAGCATAAATTAACTTTTTTAGCAATTCTGCTCTTAAGGAAAACAAATAAATTCTACTATTCAATTGAAGCGTTTGGTACGGGAGGTTCCCGCTTTCTTCCTTTTCCTTGATCTCAAATTGTGGAGTGGATGTCGTCTCTTTATAAATTCATGCTCTTTAGTTTAAAATACTCATTTATGACATCGCTTGACTCCTTGAAATCCGCTCTGCGACACATGCTGCGCAGTTGCCCTGGTCGTTGACAAGAAAAATGAAGGATTAAAGATTGCATAATTAAGAAGACATGAAGAAATATTCTAGATGCTGAACGTTGTAAAAGGTTATCAAGGTTCCAAACCCTTTAAGAATTGTCGATAGGTTTTTGGGCCTAGAATTGTTTTAAATGTTTTTCGATATCTTGGTTAAACAAAATCAAATAAATAATTAAAAATCCCAAACTTGGATTTTTTTCCGAAATTCTACGGCTTGGAAATATTTTTTAAATTTTTTCCTCTAAGCTGGTACGTATGACAATGTACCTAATCACCAAAATGTCGACATAATGCTCCATTTGACATATTGGCATTCGGCCTTGTGGATTTCCATCCAATGATCTACCAGCAAAAATCGACCCCTCTTTTGACACCAGACAAACAATTTTCATCTAAAATTTCGTAATCTTTCGCTTGGATTCGACACAGGAATGACGTTTACAAACCGAGAAACCTAACGTAGTCAAAGCATTAATGTTATATTTCTATTCTCTATCTATTTTCAGATTACGAGGAGATCCGTAGTGTTTTACAGTTATTGTAGTACTAGATTATCATGAAAAATATATATGCAGATAATTAAAATTTATTACTTGATTCGAACTTTCTTTTTACTCGCACTCTTACTGCAGCCATATAAAGTTCATCCCTTGCTAATTCGAAACTGTCATTTTCTAGATGGTCGCAAAATCACCTTCATCATGGGACCACTAGGCAATATGCAGCTCATAATCGACGGGCATTTATTCCATCGTTCGCAAATACGCGAAAGAATCATCATTTGGAATTGCTCCCAAAGAAGAAACGGGTAATTCTATAGGCCGTGCAATGTCATCGAAGTTCATGGTGGTAACATTTTTCTTCGTCTCTGTCGTCAATAATAGGTGTAAGAGTCGCATCAGTACCCTACGAGGCAACGCAGGTGCAGCGCATTCGTTCCGTGACGATCACAACCACAAGAGCAAAGTTAATTTCATCGGCAAGGATATCAAAGTCATCAAAGTTGCAAATTTGAGAATTGTCAAGAGAGGGGGGGAAAAGAATAAACAACGGATTGTTTGAATGTAAAACCTTTTTTTTTCCTGCAGCCCGAACGTGGAGAGTTCTTTGGCAGGGTTTCAAAATCTTACTAATCCACCCGTTGTCGTACTTTCAGATTCGGAATCGGAGCAGAAATCAACGGAGGAAAGCTACTACTTTGTGTGCACCGCCGATGGAGAGTACAAGATTCAGGAGAAGCCTGTAGACCCATCGCCATCACCGAAGGACACAAGACCGAAACTACTCGCCGGCGCGAAAACTCCACCGACCAGGATGCGTCGCATAAAGGGGGGATTCACATTCCCAATAGCCGAGGGAGACGAAGTGGAACGACTCGAGCGTACCGTGTTGGAGAACCCCGAAGTTCGACAGGAATATGTAAGGCTATTTGCTAGCAGCGCTAGGCTAGAAGGCAGTGGAAATAACTCGTATGTGGTGTGGTTGTTTTCAGATAAAACTTCTAAAGCGCAAGCCGGACAATGTGAAGATCGTTAGCTATTTGCCACACGTCTTCTCGGATGAAGCATTGGAAGGATACAACTACAACGGAGCGAGCGCCCTTGGACGAAGCAAACTTGCTATGAAGGCATACGAAATATTCTCCAACTGTTTCCTAGGTGAGTGACTGCGTGGTCAAATTTTAATTCACATGTTCGGTATATCGATCTCTAGGTGTTTAAGTATGATCGTGAATTGTTCTTGTATCGGGGATCTTGAACAAAATCTAAGTTCAAGGGCCAAATTTGGTATATGAGGCAAATATTTGACTATCGCACCCCGATTTGACATTAGACGCTTAACGTTTTTATGGCAGTTTCCTGGGCGGCTATGATTTTGAAACAATTATGACAGTTGGTCAAATATAGCGATTCCATTAACGAGATTTTACGATAGGATAGACTGCAGTGAAACTTGAATAGATTAGACGTGAAGACCAATATATCAAGATAGAGCGTGAATTAAGGCGTAACACTTTTTGTAAACAATGACTTCTTTCCATGATATCTTGAAATTTAAGGCTCGCCCACGCAAATCAACATCACCATCATGTAGGGTAATACCCTGGACAGACTATGGCTTATATCATGTAATATAAGCTGTCTTGCAATGAGCACTCATACATCTAGTTTTCACTGGAAATCCTATGTATGAGTGCTCATTGCAAGACAGCCTATATTACATGATATAAGCCATAGTCTGTCCAGGGTATAAAACTTCCCCTACCCGACGGTAGTGTTGGTTTGCGTGGGTGTGCCTAGAATTCCTAGAAATCATCGAGTGAAGTCATTGTTTACAAAAGCTGTTACGCCCTAATTTCAGCTTTATCTAGATATATTCATTCGGTTGCGCAGACGTGCGATCGCTAAATGCCTGGTAGAAATATGTCGATCGCAGGTCGAAGAAGATTTCAGTTCAGACTACACAAGTAGGGGTCATGCTGGAAAAATTTGCCATGTTTAATGTTTCCGTTTCAGCACTTGGTCCCACTTTCGACCAATTCAATCAAATCAACTGCTAGTCATCGAACTTCAAATTCCTCCACGGTTGAATCACTATCCTTACCGATCTATCACCGTCACCTTTGAGAATCGTTGCTTGAACATGGATGCTATCGTATATCCGTCGGTCGTCAAATCTGTGGGCGGTTGTGTCCTATCCATCTACCTATCCATTCACCGAGCACACTGGTTGAATACCGCGATCCGATCGTCCGAAGGGGTTGTTGTTGTTGTTGTTCTTTAGTAGCGACCGTTTAACCATTTGGTCATTCGGGTCGTTTTTAATAAATTGCAGTTTAAAGCTTAAAAATAAGTATTTGAATTTATCACTTCTTAACCTATTTCCGGTTGCCTTCTTGGATCTGGTCATTGTCGGGTCTTCCTTAATTAAACGTTGAGGACTGCTACAGATTTGGCAGCTTTGAGTGCTGCTTTCTTGCATTGCTTCCAGTTGTGTTCTTCTAGGTATCCCGTGTGGACTTCTTGATTCTCGATTATGGTGACGTCCTGATCACCGTTTTGGGTGGTATCTTTGCTGTCTGCGTTTCCCATTGTATGAGTGCTGGATGTATGGTTGTACTGTAGTTGAACCGTGGATGATTTGAATATGACTGTTGCTTGATTGCCATTTGTCGGCTTTATAAGTATTGCATTTTGCAGACAGGTCTCTTTGGTGGTGAATTTTGTTGCGTTCTTTTTGTGTTGAATCAGCATAGGTTCGATGTTGATTGTGGTTGTTTATATTAGCGTATGGATTTTGCTATCCTTCAAGAACTTGATTGTTTTTTCTATGGAATTTGCATCGTCTCCTAGTATTTCATGTAAAGAGGAGCCCAGGTGATTGGTTTTTCTTTCTGTGTCGTAGCGGGGACAATCGATTAATATATGGTGAACGGTAATTGGTATTCCAAAAGATAGACATATTTCCGGGTCTTCTTTTCTTGCAAGGTGGCCATGAGTTAATTTGGTATGTCCAATTCTTAGCCTTGTTATGATTCGGCTTGCATATCGATCTTTATTGTATGAGGTGCTCCATTCCGAAATGGTGTTCTTGATTTGCCTGAGCTTGTTGTTGTTCATGAACCATTTGTTTTGCCAAGCTCGGTTTATATGTTCGTCAACCATTCGTTTGAAATCTGCGAATGGTGTGTAAATGTCGATTGGGGATTTGAACATAGTCCCATGTTTTGCCAGGTCGTCTGCTTTCTCGTTGCCCTGGATGTTGACGTGAGCTGGGACCCAACAAAGTTCAACGTTTCTGTGAGTTTCTTGTAGGATCGCTTTGATTCTCAAAATCCATGGGTGATTACAGTTGTTGTTAGCGACAGCTTCCAGTACGCTTTTTGAGTCGCTTAATATTACATTTAGGTTGATTTTTATATCTATTGCTTCAAGACTTGTGTTAAGTTGAATTTTTGAGTATTTTGTTCCATGTTTGATTGCAATAGCAACTCCACCTTGTCCTGAAGGACGGTGGCAGAATAAGGTATTGTAACTCACTGACGTCATTACAATTCCATTGAATAATTTCGGTTGATTTTCGGTTTGCTGTTGGATCCATTCTAGTTGTTTTGATGACGATTATTGGGTTTAAAGTTGCATCTCATCATCGCCACCCTCTTGAGAGCTGACATCCGATTCTGAGTTAATGTACTCAACCGTTTCACATTTTTTCATCTTATCGTTACCTTTCTTTTTCCTTGGGGGAGATTCGATGGGATTGCCTTGGCTCCTGGTGTGTTTTCCTGATGGTTTGTATCCGTAGAGTTTCAGTGTGTTCTCCAGTTTGGAATAATTCTCTTTGAGAATTTCGGGCTCCTTTACTGCCGTTTTTTTTTTTTGTTTTTCTTCTCTGTAGGCATTAACTGCCTGTTCAAACTGGTTTTGCATTTCCATGAGCTTATTTTCCATCTCCTTCATTTTTGTTCGACTGTTTCTGCAGATCTAACCCTAGTGCTTCCGCGTAGGATTTCTTTTCTTCATTTAATTGTTTGATCTTCTCATCAAATTGTTGGGTTAATGCACTTTTAATGGAATCTGAATACAGTCGTACCTCGATATAAAGCAACGTTACGTTATATCGAGTTACGTTATATCGAAGCAAAAAAAAATATTTTTTTAAATCAAAAATTGTTCATTGTAACCCAAAGATGACCCAATTTTTTTTCTAGTCATCTAACAGGTTTACAAAACCTTTCTTATATAATTTTCCTCAATTTTATTAGATAAGTTCCCAAAGCTTACATGAAATATATGAAAATGAAAAAAAAAGTACTAGAGTCTGTGCCTAGGGGCACGAACGGAAGGTTGATGTAGGACCGCGATTAGTCGGTACACTTGTTTTTGTGCTTAGTTATTTTCGTTGTTTAAAATCCATATGCTTAAATATTTCAAATGGTGCCATGTGTGAACATGGAATCGATACCAACAGTGAATGAACTGCGGCACCGGTGGTTTAGAGGTAAACGTGATTGCCTCTCATCCCAAAAGGCCTGGGCTTCAATCCTAGTCGGTGCCTGTGGGGTATTTCTGGGGCATAAAATCTCTGATCATGCCTCCCTTTGGAAGGGAAGTAAAGTCGTTGTGTGGGAGCTGGCTCCCTGGCGTCGGTAGCACTGGTATTCAGTACGGAAAACCAGATCGACGGAAAATAAAGGAAAAAAAGTAAATCAACTTTTAAGTACAACCGCTGCATTGTTTTAATATTACCGATGAGTTTTCTACAGGGGTCTCATAGCCTAGTCAGTAAAGGCACGGTGTTACCAAGCCAGAGACGGTTGGTTCAATTCCCGGTCCGGTCGAGGGAATCTTTCGGGTTGAAAATTTTCTCGACTTCCCTGGGCATAGATTATCATTGTGCGAATCTAGGAACCTAATGAAACGTGCCACACAAGGAAGAAGTGTTAGTTTGTGATGTCCGTGCGAGAGAATATAGATTCATCCTGCCTGCTGCCGTCGTAGAGTCGCGTCGATCTTCTCCTGTATCCGATTCAGGATAACTTTGCAAAGAACTTTGAGAACAATACACAGTAACATAATGCCTCACCAATTGTCACACACAGTCGATCCCCCTTCTTTGGGACCTTCACTAAGATGCCCTACATCCAGTCGGCCGGAAAAGTCGCGGTGTCCCAGATATTACAGAACAGTTGATGCAACATTTGTGCGGATAGCATGGGGTCAGCTTTGAGCATCTCTGCTGATATGCGATCGAACCCTGGAGCCTTGTTGGATTTCATGCTTCGGATAGCTGCTTCAATCTCCTGCACTGATGGGTCCTCGGAATTGACGCGAGTGATGCGCCGCACCCTAGGCGGATCATGGTGAGATGTTGATGGCTGGTTGGCCGTCGAAAATTGAAGAAGTTGTTCGAAATGCTCAAACCAGCGTTTCAGCTGGTCAGTGGGGTCGGTAAGCAATTGTCCAGTCGTGTCCTTCACTGGCATCCTCGGGTTCATCCTTGCTCCACTCAGGCGTCGTGAGATATCGTAGAGGAGGCGTATATCGCCAGTGTTTGCGACTTTCTCCCCTTCGTCGGCCAGGGAGTTCACCCACGCTCGCTTGTCCCGTCTGCAAAAGCGCTTGACTTCCTTCTCTAGAGCCGAGTACCGTTGACGGGCTTCGTTCTTGGCTCCTCTGGTTCTCGCCCGCACTATCGTGGCTTTTGCTTCTCTACGCTCCTCAATCTTCCGCCAGGTTTCATCTGTGATCCACTCTTTCCTCTGGGTGCGCAGCTCACCCAAGTTGTTCTCGCTTGTTTCTATAAAGGTATTCTTGATGGCCGTCCATTGTTCTTCTACACTGCCACCTTCTGGAATGTCCGCAGCTCGAGTCTCAAGTTCTTCAACAAAAGACCTTTTTACCGCTCGATCTTCAAGTCGGCGTGTGTTGAACCGCCGCCCGAGTCTCTCCTCCCGTCGCTGGATCCGCGCCATGCGTAGGCAGATTTCGCCGATTAGAAGGTGATGGTCAGATGCGATGTCGGCGCTGCGTTTATTCCGGACATCAAGAAGGCTCCGTCTCCATTTTCGGCTGATGCAGATGTGGTCGATCTGATTTTCGGTATGTCCATCACGGGAAACCCACGTGACTTTGTGCACTGGCTGATGGGGGAAGAG